GAGAAGCAGAAAGGCACTTTCAATTAAATTTAAATAACATTAAACAATTTTAGGTAACACTAACCTTAAAAGCCAACTTACTTTAAAGAGGGCAAGTGAAGCAGCAGTTGCACAGTTCCTCAGCTTTGGTTTTCAGCATCTTGAAGGCCTGTGTGTTTTTCTCCATCCACTTCATCTGCATTTGTTTATGAAAACCTCAGTGGTTTAATTTCTTCCTCTGGTTTGATAAGCTGCTGGAGATCTCACACAACTTCCTCTAGACACCTCAAATAGGATGCATGACATGGCACTAACAGTAATTGGGGGTTTATTCATTAGGTGTGCAGACAATTCCAACAGCCAGTTGATATCTGGATTTTAATACTGTGGCAATCTGGCAATAAATTACATCCCCAAAAGAGAGAGATTTTAGGAATCCTTGGTTTTTTAGTTTAACATAACATACCTTTTTCTCTGGTGCCTAGAAGCAAATATTCCTGAAGACAAGAATATCACATCAGTAATTTCCCAATTTCTTTGTAGTGAAAAATTATGATGAAAAAATAGGCTTTGGAAAATAAAAGGCACAATGGAACTTAAGTAGAAATTCCTAGAAAAGCAATTAGGTCTGGAAGCCTGCTTCAGACAGAAAGAACTAAAGGAAAACAGTCACTCAAGAGTTCCATCTGAAACCATATTTATTTTGAGAACTTCAATTTGCACATTGTACAAAAAAAATTGACAAATTCAGCAAAACACCCTATAAAACGTTTTTATTTTTCCCTAACATATTAACATTATAAAAATTTTAAAAAGGGTAGAGAGTTAGGAAAACCAAAAAAATAGGCACATTTGTTCCAGTCTGTCTGCAGTAAAAAGTGTGATTAGAAACATCCCTGTCTTTTTGAGGTATAAAACTGCGAACTTTGGCAATGATAGAAAAAGAGAACCCAGCCTATAAAAAGGAGCCTCTGCGGTGGCACCGACGATACAGAAAATGGTTCATAAAAAAGTCAGGATTGATTATTTTCCATTTCCAGGTAGAAATGCAGCGAAACAAAGTAAAAAAAACCCAAAGAGTCATGTTCCCATCATCCAGCTCCAGCGTTAGGAGGAAACCTGAATGGTTGCAAATCCACACTGATCCCATCCAGCCACAGTGTTCTGGTTTACCCAAGGAATAAAATCCGGTTGGCGAGTTTAAACAATTCAGTGCTTATTAAAAAAAAACACAAACAAAGGAAAAAAATTAAAATCTATCTGGTGATTCAGAGCCCAGTCTTTCAGAAAAGGACAAAAGGCACTTAAGGATGGCTTTAGTATATTCCACAATGGCATTTCTGGAGAGAAGACAGCACCTGGCTGAACAAATAGCTCCCTAGTAAGAAAAGTCCAGCTGAGGTAGTACTTCATATTGCTCCAGCTCCTTGCTCTACACAAGCAGCTTTATTCTTATCTTTTGATATACAAAAATTTATAGGAAATGGCTTTTGAGAAGTTTGTCAAATGTATAAAACCCAGTTCTTTAAGAAAAAAAATAGCAAAAAACCCACTTGTAAAAAAGATCAGACACCAGGAAGCATCTTGCAGAAAACTGAGCGTCCCAACGGTGCCACGGTGATGCACAGACCGACCTGGGCGGCCGAATCCCCACACACTGCAGATTGTTCTAGCAACCAAGCCATTTTTTAAAGTAAAAAACCTAAAAAAAAAAAAAAAAAAAAATAGAGGGGACCCAGGGGGCACTCTGAGAACTTTCATAATCATTCGCAGCCTCACCGGAAACACTTTAAGTCCATTAAAAAACCATGAATTCTGTGCTGATGAATGGCAGTTTGGAGAGGCAGGGGGAGGGGAGGGGAATAAATGCAAAGTTCAACATTTAGAACAAAAACAAAACCCACGGACATACAAAAAGGATATTCCTTGAAGTTTATAGTTTTTTTAAAAACCAAGGAAGACTTTAAACTTTTGTTTTTAGGGGTCTGGGAGAACACAGACTACTTTTTTTTTGTTTTAAATTAAGCCCATTGAAAACCCATGAATAAGTTTGAAGAAAAGAAAGGGAGAAGTGCTTTCCAGAATCACCGCCCGTTGCCGTAGCCGGGGAAGAGCTGGGTGAGGAGGCTCTGCAGGGGCTCGTTCACTTCCATGCTGTAGTTCTTGCCCAGGTCGTAGCGACAGGCTGGGCAGCTGTACACCTCGGCCCTGAAGGAGCGGTCCAGGCAGTCCTGCCCAGGGAGAGGAAAGGAGCTGGTTAGGAGAGGCAGAGGTGCTGCTGAGGTGGTTCTGCAAAGCCCCGCTCCAGAGGGAGATTCCTGCTCCAGCCCCAGGGAGGGACAAGGGCTGAGAGGGGCCAGGGGTGATGCCAGGCTGGCAGCTGGAGACCAAACCTTCTTCATGACTTGCTGGACTGACTGTTGTGGGCACAGGACTGAGGTGTATGGCAGAGATAGTTTGTTCAGTTAACACTTTCTAAGCTCAAGAATCCCCCTGCAGCTACTGAAGGCTGTAGGAGCTTCTGCAGAAGCAGTTCCAAAAACCAAACCCAACGCCCAGCCCCTCTGTAACACCAAGTCCATCAGTGTACTGAGCCCACAGAGCAGCTCTCCTCAGCTCTCCAAGCCATCAGGCAGCAGCAGCACAACACCAGAGCTCACTTGAAAGCACAGACTTTCCTATGCCAAAGAACTTTCATCAAATCATCATGTTTTCACATACATAAACCTGCCTCACGCTAAAAGACTAACCACAGGTGAAACACCCCAAACCCACACATCCCCCCACCTCTCACAGCACTAAAGAAGTCAGCTCAAGGCTTGGCTCAACAGAACTCAAGAGCTGTGTCAGCCACCCACCTTGCACACGTTGTGCTGGCACACGGTGGTGACGGGCCGAAACACAACCTCCTGACAGCAAATGCACAGGAAGGCCTCTTCCACCTTGTTCAGGAATTTCTGTAGAGAGAACGTCTGGATTAACATATTGCTACTACCCTCAGAAAGATACAGCCAAAATAAAAACACCCAACCCACCCCACCTTAAGTGCACGGGATTATTTTAGTCACAAAGTTTTTCTACAAAGCTTAAGAAAGGTAAAAAAAATAAACAAGTTCTGGTAACAGCTTTCTTACTGACCTCAAACATAGAACTTTAAAGTTATGCTCTGTATGTCACTAAATACACTAAAAACACACCCCACGACAGGTCTGAGGCTGTTTCTTTCTGCAGCCAAGAGGTTTGTGTCCAGGGATAATACATTAATTCATTGCCACTTCATCTCTGGGAAGGAAAGCATGACGTGACGTACCGGCCCGTCTTTGAGCGCCTCCAGAACTTCATTCCACAGTTTTTCATTGGCTTCATCACTTTTTATAAGAGATTTTTGCTGAGATGTCAGTTTGTAAGGCTCAACTTTAGTCTTCTTTGGAGTCCCTGCAGGAGAGCGGTCGAGTTTTTCTTCCCCACCTGAAAGAAGACACAACAAATCTTTAAACAGGCAAACAAAATGCAACCAGAAAAGAGTAACTAGGTAAAAATGTACAAAAACCTACAAGGCTTTCCATATCCACTTGCCTACTCCACAAACCTGCTGATTTCCTTTTCCTCTTTCCTTTCCCCGGGGTATCATACTCATCATCTCCATCATTTTCTTTTTCCTTGTCTTTGTTTGCAACAGCTTCCAAGTACCCTTCAGGATACTGCAGGGAAACACAAAACAAAAAGCATCCAATGCAAACGTGCCAGATCACAGACTTCCAGGTGGAAGTAAAGGTTGGCAGAAACTCTGGAGAGCTGCTCCAGGGTTCTCCCCTCAGGCCCCTGCTCTTGCACAGTACCTATCCAGGCTACAGGCATTCTGTGCAAGAAATTAAGTTTTGTCCATTTAGCCTCCTGATGTAAAAAGAGAAACAAGCCACAAGACTGGAAGCACTTGTGTCCCCCTTGGTTTAAGAGAGGGTGTCTTGATTCTTACACAAGGATCATCCTCAATAACTTTGTAGAATAGAAAAGTTCCTGATGGCCATCGAGTTCATTGTCCAGGGGAACCACAATGATGTCCCAAAAGCATACCTGCATTGTTAGGCCAAGCTTTTTCATCCTGTCCTTTCCTTCTTTGGTCCAAGGAGCAGGTTCATCATCGTCCCTCCTAAGCAGGTAACGCCACACTAAGAATCCAGATTTCCCTGTCTCAGGCCAGTATTTCACAACCTAAAAAAGTCAGATGCAAGTCCATCACACACAATAAAAAAC